CCCACTTCCCATGTGGCCCCCTGTGCCCCATGTCCCCTCAGTTCCTCTGTTTGTGGCCTTCAGGCCCTCAGCTGGCCCCCTACTCATTCACTACTTGTCCCCTGGACCGCCTCAGGTCTTCCTCTGCTACAGGCCCTCCAGAGACCCAGCGTCCTCTCTGTTCTTTACTTCTGGACTCGATGTCCCTTTGGCTCCGTGTGTTTCTGTGAGTCCTTTCAGCCTCGCGTGTACCTTCAAGTTCAGGTGTTGGCGACCAGATTGGTGTGACGGTCACTGAAGTGCACATCTTCCCGAGGAGGAGAGCTGCTGGTCTGACAGCCAAGCACAGGGGCCCTGGAGTCGTAGAACCAGCCCGCAGGGCATAGCCTGTGGGGAGTCGGAGCAGGACGGAAAGTCGCGCCTGGGGTTGAAAGGGATTGCTGTTCTTCCACCAAATTGGGCTGTGCACAAACAGCTTCAGAGACAGTGCCCGAACATGGGCAAGGCCAATGCCTGGCCCACTCTGTCCCTGGGATGGGGCAGTCCCCAGAGAAAGATGGCCTGTGCCTTACTGGGGAATGTACCAGCAAGGAAGGTTTTGGGGGTCACCTTTACTTGGTGACACTTCTTTAGGATGTTTTGTGGATGTACACAGTTGGCTTTACTATTTACAGCAGATGTACAACAGCATGTCTATGCTCAACTGAAAAGATAGTGCCAAAACAGGTCATTTGAAATGACAATATTTATGGGGGCTTTCTTTCTTTGGGAGATAGCCAAAATTATTCTGTTGTGACTTTCTTTCCTCTTTCCTAGTGTTTTCGGTGGAAAGAAGACAAAAAATTTGGCTTTCTCTTTTTAGGTTTGTGAGGTTTGTCACGCAGTGCAATCAAGCTGAGTTAGGATCGTGGAGGTAGGAGACAGGAGTGAGGTGAGCATCACAGAAACAGAGGCCCCAAAGCCTCCTCTTGGTGTGCCATGCAGGGCTCTGACCAGAAGACGGACTGGGGGTTCACCAGGAGGAAGAAGGTGGGAGACGCAGTTAGGATAGTACATGTGCTTTTCAGAGGTGGCCTCAGCCTCCAGCTTCAGTGTTAGTCCCCAGCCAGTTCAATTTTAGTCCTCATTTGGCCCCATTTTGTCTCCATTTGCCCATTTTTACACCCTGAGTCTTTTCCATAGGCCTTTTTTGTACACAGGCCACACAAAGAAGGCGCACGGCCAACAGGCTATATAGGGCGCATGCTCACTGCAAGTTGCTATCTATGACTTTGTCGCTACACACTGAACCCTAGTGCTTCTGGCCTTGACTAACCATAGCATAGCTAGTTCTGGCCCTGGCCACACTCTAAACACATAACATAATCCCCTGGAAGTCTTGGGAGAGAGCTTAACTGCAGACATTTGGGGGCTGCCCTACAGGGTGCAGATTCATGGCTGACCCACCTGGGATTTCTGTGTCGAGGTCTGTAGTGCAGTGTTAGACCCAGCGCATGGCCATGTCATGGGGAAGGCGTTGGTGAGGCTACCTGTACCACCTGACCTTTAGCATCATGTGGTTCCCTACACCGTGGACTAGTGCGGAGTGCAGAGCCACTGCACATGCTGTGCTCATGGTGATCGGGGCTTAGGCTCCTCTTATGTGCAGTCAGCTCTGTTTGGGCTCCTACGGGTGCTTTATTCTCCAACCCATTTTCCCCCTGAAAGAGGATAGAATATAAAGAGAAGATGTGGAGGTGAGTCTTTTTAAGCTGGATCCTGCCTCGACACACTTTAAGAATAAAGGTATGAGCCATCTACCTGGGAGCTGGGAGCTCAGCAAGCATAGGTGGCCCCACAGGCTGCCATTCCCTCCACGTGCGTGTCACCAGATTTGTTAGTGACATTGTGCCTTGTTGATGGCATTTATCCTGAAAGGCTCTTCCAGGCTAGGCCAGGCTCCTCACCATTGTGGCTGGGAAGAACAGGTCCCTGTGACCATGGTCTGTCGTGCCTGTGCCTGTGGCCCTGCTGTGTGCTGAGTGGTGGTTAGGGAGACCTTTTCCCGGTGCTGTGTAACACCGGTACTTCCTGTTGCTGTGGTTCATAGAGCTGCACTTCAAGGAGGGATATATGGTGATGGATTTTGGTTTAAGGTAGGCCAGTAACTTCCTGTGTGACCTGTACAATCCACTAAACCTCTCTGAGCCTGGCTTTCTACCCTAAAAGTTGAGAGGGTCTGGGCTTGGCATGGAAGGAGGGGCCATCACCCCTATTTCAACGTGGACATGCAGGAGCAGAGCTGGAGCTGTGATCCAGACCTGGGTGGGATGCACTCCAGCCACACTCCTGGCACTGGGAGGTGAGCTCCCCGCCCCCAGCACTGCTGCTTCCTCCTGTGGTGTCGCAGAGGGGCCACTAAATACCATGTGGTCAGGAACCAGAGACCTAAAGAACTGACGCTCAGGAGATGGGCATCTTCAGTGGTTGAGAAGAGCAGAGTCTACGTTCTTAGCCCAAGTAGAAGATCTTAGCAAGCCTGCATTTCCTTCTTCAGTTTTCTTGAGAAAGACTGAGGCACAGAGAAGGGGAAGAAGGGAGACTCCTGGGGCCCTGCTGCAATCAGAGCAGGGGCACTGGTGCTCGGAGCCTTCAGACATCTGGAAGCTGGTTTTGCTTGTGCGTAAATACAAGTTGCTGGGCTAAGCAAAAAATAATTGTAATAGATTCACTTAATCATAATGCAGCGGAGTCGGACCTGGGAGAGCGTTAAACTTGCAGATGAGGCTCGCCAGGGTAGCCTGGCTGATTGCAGAGCTGCGCCTGACCTACTTACAGCTCTTCCAGAGGCGGCTGCGAGTCCCAGGACACACCAGTGTGCAGGGAGCCCAGCGGAGCTGCTTTCCGTGCCCTATTCATTCAGGGCACTGGGGGCTGTGCCTCCCTGGAGGGCCCTTGCTCATGCTTCAGTTTTCACTTCGTGTGCCACAAGACTGGCACTTAATAACCACACAGGAATTCTCAGCAGCAGGGTGGGGGGCGAGAGGGGCTCTGATCCGGAGGCGTGTGACTGGTGGAGGCAGCTGGGCCCAAATGAGCAAGGGGGTGTGGCCACTTCTCGGGACCCAGAAGTGATGTGTGTGAGTGTCTCCTGCAGGGGACTTTCCTGTTCCTTGTCTAGTCGGGTTGATGGTGGGGAGGAAAGGCAGCGACACCAGCTTTGAAAGGGAACCCTCTTTTCCCAGAAGGAGCCAGGCCTGAGTCTGGCTTAGAACTCTGGGTCTCTCATCCATGCCAGCACCTGGTGGCTGGCAAGGTGAGATGGGGAGACCATTTCACGTGGACCTAATAGGTGGGACCTCGAGCTGGTAGGTGGAGTAGGGTGCTGCTTCTTTAGCTATCAGACTCCAAAGGCAAGGGCTGTGGAGCCCTGTCCACCTGGGTCCAGGAGGCCTTGGCCAGCCCTGGACTGACATGGAGATGACCTCCCTGAGCAGACCCCAATGCCATGGTAATCAGCCCTCTGCCATGAAGCAGGCAGTCAAGGTGGAGGCAGTAAGCGGTCATCTGCAAGAGCTAGGTGTCCAGCTCCCTTTCTGAGTCCATCCACCAGGCGTCCCCAAGCCCATCTGCGCGGCTCTTCCTCCCCACGCCTCTCCCATCCTCTCGTGTTCCCATCCCTTCCCTCTGCCTCTCTCTTCTCTCCACCTTCAATTCTGCAGCTGTCACTCAAGCTCATTGCTAGCTCATGGCTGGTGTCCCTGGTGGGCACATGGATGCCCAGGGCTCTCTACAAGCCAGATCTCTGCTGCCCAGGGTTGTGCGTATGTGGGTCTCTGGGAGACCTCTCATCCTGGTTCATCACCAGTGGCCTAGCCAAGGTGTTTATTTCTACCTTAATGTTTATCCAGAACTAGGTTTATCCAGGGTGCGTGTGGGAGCCACAGTCGCGAGATGAGACAAGCGAGGCAGGATCTGGAGAGGACTCTGCTTACCCACTTCTGCTCCCTTTGCATCTTCATGCAACAAGCCTGAGCCTCCTCACCTGTGTTCTAGAACCACAAAGCTGGCTCTTGGCAGAGGGCTGAGTCCTCTTGGCTCTCTGAACCCCCGCTTGACAGCTCTCTCCCCAGCCCAGGTCCAGTTTCACTCTGGCTTCCTGATGTGCTGTATAATGCTTCTTGAGTCAAATTTAATTTTTTTCTTCTCTTCACTCGATGGCCTTGGTGGAGAATGTCTCTCATTGTCTTTTGAAAGCCAGCAAGTCTGGGGACAAGCCCTCCATTGTCCTAGGCTGTGGTGCTGCCTGTCTGGGTCCTTCTGCAGCAGCCTGCAGCACACGGACTCTGCACCGAGTGCCGGCAGCAGAGCTGGACAGCCATGGCTCCTCGGTCACCTGACACAAAGCCCAAGTCAGCAGCCAGGTGGCTGACCCCTGCACCTGTCCTCCCACGGACAGGCGCAGTCTCGTCTCCAGCCAACACTACGGAGCATGTTCCCCCTTCCGTCTTCTTCCTCAGCCCACAGGTCCCCTACCCTCGCTCTGCCCTCCCAGAGCTCACTCTTCCCTTTTGCTTCTTGCCTGCCGATGAGCAGCTTCCGCACCCAGCCTTGGCTTTCCTAAGTGTTTTGTAACTTTCACTTCAATGACATGGAGCTATTTTATTCAGCAAGAGCAGCTGAGCAGATGAAATGAAATTGATATTTTCAAAAACCTCAACAATGTCGGGGATGCTAGGTTTTGCACGAATCTCCCTGTAAAAGATCCCATATGAAGGGAGCAGCCAAGCTGTGACTGGCAAAAACACACACCGTAGCCATAGCTTGAAGGAACAAGTCTGTTGAGATGAACAGGCAGGCTTCCTTCCGGTCCTCCTATTGCTTCTTTCAAATATCCTTAAATAGCTGTGTTGCCTACAGGACAAAGGAAAGTAAGACCAATAACAGTCTCGTTGCCCCTTCCTGACTGTGATGCATGTCCTCTAAATGACCTTGACGCAGATACCATGGGCCTCTCTGATGAATATCTCCTCTGCTTTCAGCTCGGGGACCTGCTGCACAAGATCCGGTTCGTGCTGACCTACGTGGCGCCCTGGCAGATGGCGTGGGGCTCCTCCTTCCACGTGTTCGCGCAGCTCTTTGCCATCCCTCGTATCCTTTCTGCTTCTGTCCTGGCCCCAAGCTGAGGTGCACATTTTACAGGGCGAGCTTTTCACTGAACCTGGCAAGAAGCAGACTTTCAAGTCTCTGCAGTTACGTCTTAATGGGACATGAGGAGGCACTTTGAATCCCCTTCAGGCCACTTAGCTTTCAAAGATGTTTTGCGATTCTGAACTCTCACTGCTTCTCTGTGCATATTCAAAAATTGCTTTTATTTTTTCTGATCCTCCCATTTCCCATGCCCAGCTCTGCATTTAGAGATCCTTCCTGTCTTTTAAATGGAAATTAACTGCTTAAATTATTGGTTTGACTTGTGGAGATTAGTGCAAACAGACCCACAGTCATTAGACACTGAGGACATGGCTGGTGCGTTCATCATGCTATCATGTATCATGTCTATTATGTTTTGATTTAATACTGGTATTTTATATATACTTCATCAATATTCAACAATCCTGAATTAGATGCACACAGAATTAACCAAATATTTTTGAATACTGAAAAATCTTGAGTATTGAGAAATTACTGTTTTGTTGGTAGTGATATTAGCCAAGAAGGCTTGGTGTCTTTGTATATTTACATGTTTCCATAATGATAATTTATTCCTATCCACTTCAAAACAAACTTGAGATGCCCCTTCTAAAGATCACTTCCACACAGCTGAATTTCATGCTCATGTGTGTGCTTATGTGGAGAGACAGAGAGAAAGAAATTGATAAAAAGTACTCTTGAAGGCAGAGATTAATTGAAAAATTCTTGACTCAGGCCAGAAATTTTCCCTGAGAGATCTCAGCCCACTGATTCGTACTCTGCAAACCTGTGTTTCCAAGACGTGGGCTGGACCCAGTTAGAATCAGGATCCTGGAGGACCATTCTAAATCACACTGTTTCCTAACGGTCTTTCGCACCCCCACCTCCTAGGCCATTCTTACTGGCAGCTGTGGTGAGAGAGAGAGCCTTGGTTCTCACTCTGCCGCCCTCCCTGGGTATTGTTAGCGGGTTGTAGCTCCTGCCTGCAGCTCCTTCTTCCTGAAATCTGCAGAAGCCTCATTAAGACAACTCATGAGGAATCTCTGGGATGGAACAGGGTATTCAGGAGTAGAAACACGCCTGGCATCATCTTTCGGCAGTAACAGCCTGGGTCTTATAAATGCTCTCCTCTGAGGTTATTTGTTTAAAAAAGGAGTTAAGCAGATGAGAGCTGGGCCCACAAAGCCCACTGTTCTGCGTTTCTATTCTTAGGCCTCATTGCTATTGCTATTTCTGAAGTGTTTCAAGGTTGTCTGGCAGGAGATGTGAGCTCACGCCCCACCCTGCTGCCCTTTGGATGCAGGCATTATCTACAGTGGCAGGTGCTTGAGTCTACTCAACAGGACCCTTCAAAAGAAGATGGGGCAGTTTTTAGGTATCTCTGCTGTGTCTGAGGTCTCTTATCCAGGATTTCAAGCAGGACTAGCTAGTGGAAATCATGGCTGCCATGCAGCTCTGCAGCGGGAGTGGCTGTAGGATTTCAGAGCCTGGTCCTAACCAGTGTATGCAGGGCTGCTTGTGCCACCCAGCTGGTGACGCCTCGTTGGGTGGGTGTGGTGGTCCCAGAGCTGAGCAGGGGCTGCTGGAGTGCGTGGCTCTCTGTTGCTGCCCTGGACACATGCAGCATCCAAGGCACAAGCCCGCGTCCTGGGAACGTGAGGGCACCTGAAACAGCGTTGGCCTAGATCTCAGCCTGCACACAGCACGCTCAGGCTGGGGGCTTCCCTGGTGTGTAGGTGATTCTCCTAAGTAAACGAGTCACTGGAGAAGGGGGGCTGTGTTGGGCATCTGCCTTTCAGCCTTAGAACGTTCCATCCAGCCCCATGCCTCCTTCCTGGCCAGGCCCTGTGAGTGATGCCTGCTCCCTCCCTTTGGCTAAGGCAGGAGCCTCCACAGGGGCCACTGCCCTGGTGTTGTGGCGTCCAGGGCTGCTCCCTACCTTGTGCACATGCACCTCCTACCTCTGCTCAGTCACAAAGTAGATATTTGCCACCTGGAGTCCAATAGCATTCTGCTCAGGATGTACGGGGTAAATAGCTGAGAATGGGGGTATATTCTCCACCCAGACAAAGCTGCCAGGCTCCTAGACGTCAGCCCTGAATCCTGACTAATTTTGAAATGTTAATTATTTTATTACTGTATTAAGAAACTGTGGTCTCCATCCTGGCATTGAGAATGGAATAATTCTCTCTGTTTTAGAATTGAATTAGCTCTTGGGCCTTCGGGGCACCGTGGGGAGATTGCTTTTCCAGTGCCAGCATGCCTTCCCCTGATCCCTCTGTTGGTGTCTGAGCTCAAACCTCCAGGGAAAGACAAGCTTGCTCACCCTTCAACACCCATACACTGCCCAAGGCTGTTGTCTTCTGGGGACTAGACTCCCCACGTTACCCTGGAAGGAAGGCTGCCTTTGGTGACCTTTTCTTTTATCTTTTAATTATTGGTGTTGATGTTTTCACTTTAAATGTGCTTTTAAAGAAGTCCCGCCTATGCTAGAGGGCAAGCACTTGGCCCTCTCTGCTGGAAGGAACTGAAGAGGGCTTCAGGTGGCTCTACTCCTGGGGGCCCCTCTCAGCATCCCTGGACCGGGCTTAGTCTTTCCTGTTTACTCCGAGTCAGCTATATGTTCCCAAGGATTCTCCCCCAGGAAGCATCTCTGGAGGCCATGTGGTCACTCCTATCCTATGCCCTCGCATGTCCTCCCCACATACTTGGCTCTCTGTTGGCCACTAGTAGTTTCTCACTTAACTTCTGGGCAACTGTGCAAAGTAATCTTTGGAGAAATTTTAGAATCAAAGAGAAGGGCAGTGCCTGCCCCTTCAGCACTTGGCCTTGACTGGTCCCTGTGAGCCCTGGGCACACTGGGTCCCGTGGTGACTTCCATCCTCGTCTCAGCTCTCCAGAGTCATCACCACACACCTGGCTCTGATGTCCCTTCAGCACCTAGACTCGGATGTCTCCATCCCTCTTGAATGTCTCAGAGTCTGCCATTCCCCTTTCCTTGGTGACAAGGGACACCAAGTAGGGTACCTCTGTCACCCATCACTTTCTTCTTTGGCTGAAAGCTAAAAATGCTTCCACCCCAAGACACAGGCATTTTTGGCCTTTGGTAGCCTGTTGCTCAGTAGTTCTCCATTTGAACCCAGCTCAGCATAAATGCCTTATCATTGCAGGGTGGTGGAGGCTCCTGTTACCCTCACAGCTCAGCCTAGAGCAGATCCCTGGGTGTGACTGCAGGGAATGCTTCAGGAGAGAACAGAGAGGGTTAAAAGGAGGAGGAAAAAAAGGCACTCTTGGAGCCAAAAATCTGACCTTAATCTATAAGGATGTCTGGGAAGGGTCTGTGGTCATCGGCAGGCCCGCTCCCAGTCCAGATGTTGAGGAGCTCCTGCCCCCAAATCACACAGCCTGGGCCAGGCCAGCAACAACTTTGACAATGAGCATCCTCCTGTCTGTGCTGGGCATTCCCTGTCACTCCCTCCTGGAACTTTCTGAAACTGAATAAAGAAATGTGGTGCCCGTGTGTGCAGCAGCAAAAGAGAAGCCTCAGCGCCTGCCTTCCAGGAGGGAGGGTGGCCTTGCAGCAGGTCAGTGCAGGTCTGTAGTGGGCAGCAGGACCCTTGCTGCAGATCAGGGAGCAGCATGCATCATCTTGAGAGCAAGGCAGTCTGTCCCATTGTCCCCAGCACCCAGACCCTTGCTCTTGCAGCCCAGGCTCCTGGGACCCCATTCCAGAGACCCACAGGGCTCAGGCCAAAGGCTCAGTACACCATGTTCAACACTGAGCAGCCTCAGTGTTCTGACCACCTTCAGGGTGCGAATCAGCACTTGTCATTAAGTGAGCAGCCTGTGGGAGAGCTGAGGAGGCAGGTGGCCCTGGAGGCTGGGACTCCATATGCACCTGTGTTTACCTGTGAACCAGACCTGCATGAGCCATCTGCGTTCAGTGTATGCAACGTGTGTGTGTGTGCGTGTGTGTTTTCCATTGTGTGTGTGTTTGCGTGTGTGTGTGTGTGTATGTGTATATATATATATATCTGAGGAACAGGTGTGGCCTTCCCCAAACAATGCCACCTGCTTATTTTTTAAAGTGCCACTTAATCTTCCTCATTTACAAAGCCACATAGTCAGTGCTCTGGAGAATGTGCACAATGAATGTGCACAGTGGCCTCTTAGTTAACGCAGCCGGCTCTTCTCAGTCCTTAGGCGTTGTCCATAGCACATGTCGCCTGAGAAGCATTCCATGTGCGTGGGGGTGAAGCAAGGCCGCCAGGATTTGGTGGAAGCCTTGTATTTCTAATCTGTGCCTGGAGAGGTTAAGAGCCCCTCCTCTGTCTTCAGTGAGAAATAGCATCGTGAACCCAGTCAGAATCGGACAGGTCCTCTCTGCCTTAACTCCAGACCCCAGACTCTGCCGTGCTGCTCTTCCAGGCGGCCGCCACCTCCATCTTCTCCGCCCCGCTGAGCCCGTTCCTGGGGAGCGTCATCTTCATCACATCCTATGTCAGGCCGGTGAAGTTCTGGGAGAAAAACTACAAGTAAGAGCCTAAAATCTATGCTGACCCCTGTGCCCCAGGGCACCTGGAGTCCCCTGTCCCTTCCCCATGGCAGCTCCGGCCTCGGGCTCTGTTCTCTGTGGGTGGGCAGAGCCCAGCCTGGCTCCCTGGTGACTCCCTGTTCATCGGCTGGGCTCTGGGGCCCTGGCAGGAGCACGGCTGATTGGGAATTAGTGATTAAGGCCCCTCCAGGTTTCTGCAGCTGTGAAGGAAGGGGGAGAGGCTGCTGCCAGGTCTTAGCAGGTGACCAAGGAAGAGCTGGACAGGTCTCCTCTTTCCATGTGCCAAGGTCGGCCTGAGGGCGCAGTGCTTCCTTCCTGTGGTGGCCCTTCTATGAGCCCGGCACAGGTCAGGACGCCTGTGTGTCACCCCGGCTCTGTGCAATGCGGCTTCTCCTTTCCTACTGGGACTGGTGGCGACCCTCTCAGGCCATGGTGACAGCATGGGGCATCACTTTTGCTGCTGTTTGCTTTGGGTGCTGCTGTTTTGAGGAAGGTGTTCTGCCACTGGGCCTCACCCCAGCCTGGGCGTCGTTTTCAGGGGACAGCTGAGTGACCCTAAGGCTCTCATGGCTGTGCCCGGAGGACTTGGGGTCAGTGGAGGGGAGAGCTGTGAACCAGGCGGTCTCCAGCAGGTGGCATAGGACTCTGTCTTGGTGTCTCACCTGTGCTGCTGTGCCTGAGCCCCGCCCTGAGCTGTGCTCACACCTCTGGCTCTTAACTGCCTGTCTCAGGGGCCACTGAGGAGTCAGGAGATCATGGCTCCCGTGGGTAGTAGGAGACGGTATATGCGAACGTAAAACAGGCACCCTCCTGGTGCAGATAGGGGGGTGTGGTGGCTACAACAGCCCTGGGCTAAATGATGCCTGGGTAAACCCCTCCCCTCCATCTCTTACCACTGAGACCTTGGGCTTCTCTTCCCTCATCCCTAAAGCAGGACAAAATAATAGGATCCCCTTATAAGGAGAAAATGCACCAGCATACCTAAGACCTAAGACAGGCCTGCACTCAGTAGTGTGACACTCTGCAGAGGGACCCCATCCCCAGGTGAGCTGCAGGAACAGGTGTTTCCCATGATCACAGGAGAGCTTTCTGTGTGGGGTGGATGGAGGGAAGTCTCGGGTTCCTTGTGCACTTCTGCTTGATTATTTCACCTCCTCACTTCCACAATTCAGCCCCCTCCAGGGTGATGGGCTTGGAGCTGAGGGCTGGTTTACATGTAGTTCAATGAACAGACCCTTCTGTGCAGGATCCGTGCTCCCCCGCGTTACTTGGGGAGCGTCAGCCTCGGGTGGGAGGGCCTGCAGGCCTGTGGGGTCCGATGGGAATGCCTCCTCCTCTGGGGCGGCGGGGGGATGGGGAGCAGTCTCAGTCTGAGAGGGACCAGCGTACCGCCTCCTGCGGCCCATCTGCCTGAGCGCTCAGCAGATAGAATTCGGGACAGCAGAGCAGTGGGTACCAGGACAGAACGTGGAGGGAAATCTCATCCGGATCCTGGCAGGTGCCTAGAAAACATAAATGTCTTTATGTTCACATTGTCTCTTACTGAATAATAAATAACCACTAACTTCAGTGTCCAAAACAACAAACAACTTATTACCTCGCCTGGTGTCTGTGGGCCAGGGATTTGGGAAGGGCTCAGCAGCATGGTGGTGACATGGTGTTGCAGTCACCAGGCGAGGAGGTAGGTGGGACTGGAAGAGCAGAGGCCCACCTCTCCAGGTGACTTCCAGATGTGGTGATAGTCTGGGCTCCAGCATGTGGCCTCGGGGCCCAGCACAGGTGTCCTCTCGAGTAAGGTGGAAGGCACATGCTTTTCTGATTGTCCTCATTTTGTTGTTTACAAGCACGTCACACACCCACCAGGTTCCAAGGGTCAGAACTCTACCAGCTGTTGATGGACAAGCGGTCAGGTCCAAGAAGGACTTGTGGGATCAGGAAAAGTAGCTGTCATCATTGGAAAGTAAATGTGTATCATGGTCTTCTGTAAATTCTATCCAGAATTGATGTGGACTGTGGGTACCTTCAGTTCTGGGCTGGTTCATTTTTTATCTGTGTCTCTGGGGGGTCCTGCACACAGTAGGTGTTCTGTAAAGACTTCTTAAATGAATTAAATTCAAAAATATTATGTCAGAGGGGAAGAAAATCTCAGTCTGGGTTTGCATTGCCAGAGCTAGGAAGTTCATTGCTAAACCAGCCTGATCCTGATTGCTGTGGTTTGTCAGTCTGTACGGGTGAGCTCTACCTGGCGCCCCCACTTACAACCCAGGCAGAACAGCAAACACACCATAGTGGTGGAGGGCTGTGTTCTTACATCCCCTGTAAGGATCTGAGAAAGCTGCAGAAACACATTCTGATGTGACTTATCACCCTTCTCTTCTTATATGAACATTGACTAAATAACCAAAGTGTCATTAACATGAGACAAATATTTAGGCCATGAAGTATGACCGTGTTCCCAGTTATCTCAGGAACTCCTTTGTCCTGGAGGGGGACTGTGCTCAGCCCTCTCAAAGAATGGAGATGCCCACCAACAGTGGCTTTGCTCCTCTATGTCAGAAATCTTCCATAAAACGTGAAATGCACTCAGTCATATAGCAGCTAGCTCAGAGGGAACCACAGCTGGGGGACAGTGGGCCCTGGGACTGACAGGGACAGTCTGGTTGGGAGAAGCACCAAGTCTTGAACTTTGCAAAAGAAGCAGAAGTGAGCAATGAGGAGAAATTGGCAGGAGAGAGTCTCAGGTAGGAGAAGCGAAGCAGAGGCGTCTGAAGGGTGAGGGCAGGGGGTGAGGTCAGTCTCCGAAGCTGGGTAGGGGCACTGGGGATAGGTCTGCACTCTGCTGGGCAGAGCCTGCCTTCAGAGCCCAACCTGCAGTCCATGTCACTGTCGCCTTCAAGCCACAGTAAGCATGAAACAGGCAAGACTGCAGCCCTGGCCAAAGTGACAGGCAGGAAAGCATGGAGCTTGGTGTCCCAGAGAGCCATCACTCCTGCCCAGTGAGAGTCTCAGAGCCTGGGGCATGGGTGGCCTGGATCCTCTGTCCAGTGGGCAGGCAGTGTGGGACACGAGCCTCATGTTGGCAGCAGCTCTGTTACCAGGAGGCGAGAACTGACGTGGGGACCCAGCATCTGACACGGGGCCCAGGAGCAGCTCAGGGCTGAGCCTCCCCAGATACATCTGTCACTGACCCACCTGTGACCTAGGCCAGCCCTGCCTCCTCTGTTCTCTGCCCCAAACCCCAAGTGCAATACAGGTCTGGGTTTGAAAGCTGCTCTGAGAAATGAGCTTGGCCCCGTCTGCTAGCTTGCTGAGGGACAAGAAAGCCCTCACACGTGTCCCTGGCGGGGGTGGTTCTGACACTTGAAGCATGGTGCTGAGATATTGTGCAGATACATTGCAGGAGGGAGACACTTTGAGGAACTCCAGTGTGTTGAACTTCTCAGATTGTGCCGGTTTAGCTTATTATTCATTACTTGTGTGCCTTTACTTGGGGTCCTGCTCCATATTGCTGAGTAGAGAAGTATTTGGAAAGTGCAGAGTGGAGAAGCAGACCACAGGCTGTAGGGTAGCACCTGACCTCCCACCTGCTTCCCAGCTGCCTGCACCTGCTGACTCTTCAAGGTCACCAGGAGCCACGCCTTGCAACTGATCCGGTTGATGGATGACTGAAGGCTGTGCCAGGCAGGGACAGCAGGGGGAACTCAGCCTCTCCAGCTTTGGGGAACGTGTTGAGACGGGCCCGATTTATTCTGAACAAAGGAAGGCAAGAAATACGCCACAGCTTTTAAACACACACCGTCCCAAACCCTTTCATTATGGGACTCAAATATGTGTGACTCGAGAGATTTATGGGCAGGTTCAAGGCTCCTGGATGGTAGGACTCACTCCCTGGTGCTAAAAGGGCTTCCCCAGAACAGCCAATATTCCAGTGACCTTCCCAGCCACTGGAGGCAGTCTCCTTCTTCCCCAGTAAGAGCAGGCGTGGGAAGACCACCCTGCGGCTCTTTGTCATTAAAACACATTCTGTGACTATCACTTAGGGCTGCTGAACTTATGGCCCTGTGTGTGTTTCCCAGACTCTGCTCCTGCTGAATTGGAGTGACGTCCCTGCCCAGGCTTTGCAGCAGTCCTGCTCCCAGGGCTCATGGTGCCCTCCCACCTGTGCACAGGCATCTACTCACTTTGTGAGCTGGGCCCAGCTACAGGTGCTCCCCAGTAGTGTGACAATAACCCATACGTGAGACTCTAGGACAGACCACCAGATAACCTGGTCCTCTGGATGACGCAATGCGTTGGCTCCCTTTGCCCCTATGCTGTCCTTGAGGGTGGCTCTGGGGTCACTGTTGTTTGTTCAGGCTTTGCACAGCTGGAGGCGGTCTCACTGCAGCCAGGAAGACTCTGGGGGATGCCTCGAGGTTTCCTGGGAAGGAAGGAAAGTTCTTAGTGGATCTTAAAATCATTGGGGTTGAAAATGAAGATTTTTAAAAGTCTCATTTGAAGAGAAGTTGAGACTGATAGACGGCTGGTGTTCGAGTTGTAGTTTCTCTGGATAAATGAGAGCCACTGGGGACACCTGAGTATTTTTCCCCTCCCCATTGTTAAAGAACCCCTTTTGGAGGACAAACTGGAGGGTAGAGAATGATGCTGGGGAGACACACAGTGCTCTCTTGACATTTGTCCTGTGCTCCTGCAGCCAGGACTCCACATGCCCTGTCTCAGTATTTGAAAAAACCAAATTTGGAAACAAATGTAAGGTTAATCCTTTTCCACCAAAAACAAAACAAGCAAAAAAACCCCAGATATGCTGGTGCAGTGACATCAAGATGCTGTCACTCATGTTCCTGTGGGTAACTAGAGGGAATACGTCACTTACCTGGGCCAGGCAATCAGGCAGAACAGAAAGGCACCCATAGGGGAAAAGAAGCAAAACCATTTCTACTCACCAGATGACGCTGTGTCATGATAAGAAGCCTGAGAAAG